CCCCAAAACCCCAAAACCCCAAAACCCCAAAACCCCAAAACCCCAAAACCCCAAAACCCCAGGTTAGATAACCAGAATTGAACCAAACCATTTCAGATGTTCATTTAGGACATAATTTTTCAAACTTTAATTAGATTAATTAGATTCAGATTTTCAGATGTCTGTAAATCCTTAATAGAGGTTGATAGTTTAGTTCTTCTTAAGATAGTCATACTTCTCGTTATACTTTGCTCGAAGGGTCTCAATAGATTTCCCTGGGAATTCATACAAAATTGCGGAGAAATCAGTGTAGTTTTCCCTCTTTTGTTGGTTAATAAGCTTTCTCAAGAGCTTAACCTCTCTTGCAGAGAATTCTTTAGACTTATTTCCAATCTTCTTGATTCTAGCAAGGAGGTTCTTAATCTTATAGCAATCCCAGTTGATCTTATTAGCCAATATCTTAAGAATATTTGTATAAACAGGAGTGAGGGATTCCAAAGTCCAGAAACCGCTGATATCAATTCCAGAATTCTTACAGAGCTCAGTCAATATGACAAACATTTCTTTGTCATGCTTCTTACAGAATCTTTCCTTCTTGGAAATAGCCTTGGCACTCTTATTAGCAGCTCTCTCTTTAATAGTTTCAGTAGGGTTCACCTTATCACAGGTGCTTCTTTCCTTCTTAATCTTATTTTCAGATTCTCCTCCAAATTCAGCTATGATGGAAGTAGACTCAAGTTGATCATCTTTGACAACCTCAGACTTAGCTTTCTCATTGAAAAGGACTCCTTTCCATAAGTCTCCAGTAGTGTTGGCTGTTGGGAGATCAAACATGAACCCATCAATGCAAGGAGTAGAAGCAATATGGGAGGCATCATTAACTATTTCCTTGTCAAATCTGGACATAAAAATATCCTGAGATCCAAATCCCTTGAAGAGATTCCTCTCCTGGAAGGTTGAAGTGTCATTGGAGACTTCTGGCAAGTTGTCTTCTTGACCACAGAAGCTCTTCTCAAAAATGGTAAAGTTATTTGTGAACATTTGTATTTGTGATTATGCAAGTTTTATTTATTAATTATATTTCTCTGCCACTATTTTTATATGCTACTCGGTAAAATCTTCAAACCTTTTCTTGAGGTATTCCTTACACCCCGGTTAGAAAATCCGGTCAGATCTCCTTATGCCAGATTATTATACAAGAGAGCTAGAAAAGATAAGAACAAGGCAGAGGGGCTTATTTTGATCCTGAGAGTATTTGAGGTATACTTTACGTCTTAAAAACTCCTCCTCAGGATTTTATCCGAATTTTTTAGGACTGTACGCTTTATTTTGTAAGCCAGAGATAAGATTTACCTCAAATTTTATCTCAAGTATCCTACTGTTGTAATTAGTAGCGCTAAGTTGTGTCTGAGTTCAGATCTATCCTTCCCGATGAACCTCAAGATCAGGTCGCGACTTTTCTGGTGATGATCAGCATGAAAATTTTTCATGTCCTAAAATTGGCCACGTTTTCTTCTAACTGTACAGCTGAGTAATCGAGAAAAATCCTGTTGCAATTCTGAAGATAGAGGGGATTTCAAAATTATGCTAAACTGTACAACTAGTGATGGAAACAAAAACACGCTGTAAGTGCTCAAACCTCTTGGCCTTAGAGTGGCTTGCCTGATTAGGTTAGCCTGACAAGATGGTAGCCTCTACTATGGATTTTTACATGCATTTTTACAAAATAGTAGCACACTATAATCCAAAGCTGCCAGAATTGTATTGGGTGTCTTCAGAAATTGTGCATTTTTCAATATTTTATGTTGAGCACTCGTTTTAGCACTATTAAGGGTTATATACAAAGCGAGTGATCTAACTTACAAAGGATAATACCAATGATGCCAGGACAGGAAGCGACTTTTCTACTGAACAAAATTGAAGAATTTTTTGATAAAAAGGGAGTATTTCCTTGTTTAGATAAGTTACCTAAAGTTAAAAAGCATATATATTGATGTTTTATTTAAATTTTTAGCAATTTTAGCAATTTTAGAAATTTGCAATACATTTTAGCTCAACTTTTTGCTAAAATTTTAAATATCAGAAAAAGTCTGAATGAAAGGTAATACTGCCTCCGAAAATTAATAAAGTAGATCTTCATTAAGATATCTGGTACATGTAAAGAAAAGCATTCTGATATCTATGCAATAGTGTATAAATGTCATTATTCTAAACCAATTTTTTATCCATAATTCCTTAATGTTGCTAAATAAACCTATTCCCATAGTAAAATTAAAGCAAATTTCAAGTTTAAAATTAAGAACTCAAAATTCCAAAGCCATGCACGCAAAGTTCATTTCATAAGAGATCTCACTCATTAGTGAAGCTTCTACCTTAAAACACGAGTTTTAGCGATATTTATAATAAATTAGTACTTTAAAGCTGTATTCTGAAAGCTTTAAGCTTAGTTTCCTCCCATTTTTCTGGATCTGGCAAAACTTCTTTCTGTTAATCAAGAATATGGATACGCAAGCTATTTCTGTATCAGACCTCTTGTGTGCCTAAGTCAGATCTCTCTCCTCCCTTGGTGTGGCCACAGTATGCTTGGAATAAGTAACAGTTTCAATACTTGGCTTTATTCTGTAAACTTCTGTTGTCTTGTAGGCTTGCTCAGCTATTACTGAAAACGCGACTAAATTGTTACAGATGTTGAGACAGTGCACGCCTCATATTTAGTGTCTAACCTTTTTTCTTCAAAAATATCAGCCACATTATTTTTGACAAGGACTAAGAAACTATTGTGTTCGAGACAATATTTTTAAGAATAAAATGTATATGCTCACAATTTTGAGAATTTTACAGCTTGATGCTCTCTTTTATATCTATTCTAGCTCAAGAGACTCCTACTCTCTAACTTAGAGTCTCTCTTCACCGTTGATGAATTGAGGTTTTCAAAAATTATTTATCTCTTCAATTATGTTGAATTACTCTGGGGTTTTGGGGTTTTGGGGTTTTGGGGTTTTGGGG